CTATGTATATTTATATCTATTTTCTGTTGGGCGAGTGAGTGTGTATATAATGCTTCATGCAACACCTATTTTTGTTCGCTGAGATATGAGGTATCTACACTAAATTTTTTTTGTTCTTGTGTGCTCATGCTTGAGCATCTGACGGCATAGGCACTTTCGTCAGGCACTTGCCCCATATGCTCTGAGTGGTACTCCACGGACAAACGAGTCCAAGCCAACTGAACGCCTATTTTCACCTACATATCTAAGCAGCTGCGAACTACATTTCAATATGTTGGAATATGTTTCTGCGTCTGCGTCTGATGTCTATTATCTATCACTTCCGCCAGGCCCATAAAACAGATTATATTAAGCACTAGTCTTCCGGCCCATCTCACCTGCATATACACGTTCCAATTACAGGTGGCGCCGCCAGCAATCGATAGCACAGCCCCTGTGGCCTCGTTGTGGGCTAATTGGGGCAAGAAGGAGGGTGCCTGGACATGTCCAGCATGCGCTGTCAATAACATAGATAAGAGCAAGGACAAATGCCCGGCCTGTGAGACCCAGAATCCAGCAGCTACATTCTCGACCACCGCCGCAACCAAGGTTCAAACACCCGCTACATTCTCCTTTGGTGTCGCACCGGCTAGTATCGCTGCGCCTGTCTCGTTTGGTGTCCCGTCATCTGCCAGCACTGGCTCCACTGCCACGCCTGTAACCTTTGGTATACCTTCGTCTACAACTACTAGCAAGGCTGCTGCGCCTATATCCTTTGGGGTGCCCCCGTCTACTAGCACTAGCACTGAGGATCCGAAATCTACGACAAAGGACGGGGGTGGCGATAAGCCCAAAATCTCATTCGGCAGAGCACCCTAACCTAAATAAAGACTAGTTTTAATTTTCAAATAGGTCTGAGTAGAAAGTCTTATAAGTTGTAGCCGACCTTGGAAAGATATTGAGTGGCCAGTAATTTCACATAGCTTAAATGTTCGAGTTAGTTGTAAAAGAGGTTGGGCTGCGCATGCCGACACAAATGGTCCATCTCTCATCATCCTATTCGAAGATGGTCAAATCACACGTAAACGGAACTTCGAGGCCTCGGCCTTTCTAATTTTATATCGAGCGCCCTGAGAGATTGGCGCCCACTTGTGCCTCCTGTGATCTTGCAGTATTGCTTATAGCTCCTTGTCAGAAATGGACACAGTGTCGACATTATATCGGATTGTTTATTGCTAACCGTCTCATTGGCGACTACTCGAACTTTTGGCATTTGTCTACCATGGAGACACACTTAAAATCTTTGTCGTTCTCGCAACAAGTTGTCGCTTAGTTACTACAGATGAACACCACTTTTGAACGAAATATCCTTGCAAACATCCTCCAGCGCATTCTGCACCACATCGGGCATATGTTCTGTTATCGCTTCAGTGGACAGCATGATCCTGAGTAAAAATTGAGGGTCGCAGATTTAATTGCGATATGTATAATTTATGTCGTCAGAAAAATACGCACCCCGTTCAATGAGGTGTGATACTTCAACGCGAACCAACATAACTTGTTTGCATAACATTTTCGAGTGGGAGAGCGTCAGATACTGCGACTCAAGTACCTGGTAAAAAACTGCTTGTCCCGCCAGCAGGCGACATACTGCTTCTTGATCTCAGTGGCTACATTCGGCGGTTCCGCGTTTATAAGATGTAATACGCGACCTATTTCACATTACAGGTAGAATATATCTTAGTTTAGAATTCAGACAGTAAAAGCGTACTGTACAAAGGAAGAACGAATGTACGAAACGCATCATAGAAACGAAGACATCAGCTTGCAGAAGAGATCGAATTACCAGGCAGACAACTGACGGCATCTGCTTCGTATTCGTACGTAGGCATGGGCATGCGCACTGTGGTGGAGGACTCACTCATCCCTGGCAACGCTAAGAAGGGCTGCTGCTCGCGTACTCCAGCTTCCAAGTCGAGTTCATTCTAAAATGAACAAATTGGAGCGATTTTCACGGATAATATGTATTTCTCGTTCAATAAATACAATCAGTAAAGTGGGCGCCAAAGTAGGTGGGGCAATTGAGTGAGGCATATAATGTAAAAATCTTGAGCGAGACCATACATACACGATAAACGTATTAAATTTTATAATTAGCAATATACGATCAATCATGCCCCAACAGCAGACCGTCTGCCAATGTTTCGATAGTTATCTGCTCTGAAGTCAACGTCAGACACTGGTAATGACTGTGTGTGATTTCCAACCGTCGCAAACTATCGCCTGGATACTACTTGAGCAACCGCACACACGCACGAGACGCATTCTGGATCACGCAATTAGCAATCATTTTTCACCTGTACATACCTCAGAAGTCTTGCGGTTGGTCAAAACACTAGTGATGGCACTGCGTACACCATTTGCGAGTATATCGTATTTCGGTCGAGTACTTTGCTGCACGGCCGCAACCTGAATCAGAGTGAAACACCGGGTCAGTTTCAGCTTCTGATAGACATCCCCATTAGAGGTCCACAGAAATAATCGAGCCTGAAATACCTATCATGCAACGCACACCGAATTAGTCTCATCAACTGTCGTTAGACCTCGCACTACCTCCACTCACCATCTCGTCTCGAAACCGGGCCAAATTTGGTACAGATAGCTGGGGCACTATGTCTCTGCCAACCACAACGGACAAGCAGTATTCAGTGCATCGTTTAGTAAGGGAAGCGGACATCAAACCCGACGGGGAGCTGTAGGCAAAGCATTTCAACCTGGCCTCGTATCTGGGGGCCAACATGATACTCAGCAAGGCCGCCGTAGCAGCCCCCAAGGAATGTCCCACTACTACGAGATCGTATCGTTCAAAACCATCGAAAGCTTGCTCGAGAAGTTGTCTGGTTTGTAATTCTTGGTAGACGTAGCGAGCCGCATATAATATACCTGATTGGGCAAATACAAAGGAGTAAGATCAGTGCGATACTTCGTTCGCTAGGATTCTCTGGAGTATATCACAACTAAGCTCATGCTACAAGTATGACCACATTACCTTGATGACACCAATGTTCTGAATTCTCCTCGAATAGCGCAGGGGTAGCGTTGAAGTCCGTGAGCGCGTCACTGTATTTCAAGCAAATTCAGGAGAAAAAGTATGAAGCAAAACAAAACTTGTGCTCAATAGTTAGGAGGGTTGGGTGTCATGAGAACCTTATCAAATAGTACTGCTATAGATAGAAAACAATACAACAAAAATAAGTATTGGTTTAGCCTAATAGTTTGGAGCGTTCGATGTCATGAGATACATATCAAATAGATATGCTATCGAAAGCAAATAAAACTGGCGAACACAAAAATGTGCATTAGTTTAGCACAGTCGTTTAGAGGATACAGTGGCATGAGATGCTTTTCAAATAGTAATACTATAGAAAGCAAATAAGACTAGTCCTTCAATGGCCTGCGAATGTTACAGTGTCACGCAATTATGCGACTACTTACTTGAGAGACATCGAGCCACGGATACAAACCACGATCGACCTCCGTTCATGATCGCGTACCACATAATAGGGAGTCTCTCCATAACTATTCTGATAGTTGAAGAATACTACGTCGTCGTCATCCACTACCCCCGTTTTAAGGCGCATCGCCGAGAAGTTGCACCAGCAGCAATTGTCACTCATTACTTTAGATTGCAATGAATGGCGTCGACGAGGTCTGCCTGTTCCAATGAGAGAGAAGGGATCGATGAGCGTACTACACTCAGCAGGCTCATGATTTTAGATGTAAAAAACACGAGTGTTTATACATTCAGGATAGCACACGTGAAGTTGTATGTAAACACACACGCATATGCACAGATTTATACACATAAATAAAGAAAGCATATCTACACCCAAAGTATGTATACCAACAATCTGATATGTCGTTCCAATTCTTATTCAAGGCCAGTAGTTGTCTGTCATGATCATTTCTAACATACAAAAAAAGAGCAATACGAAAACTAATACATGTATGTATACAT